TATTCAACTGAAGCGCTGGATCCCTCCCTAAGTGCTCCCAGGCTGGTGGTTTAGACCCTGGGAGCTGTGGTTGGTTGGTATTGTTGCTCTCCTCATGGTGCCGCAAATCCTTTCAGCTCTCCTTCAGTCTTCACTCTAACTCCTCTATTGAGAACCCCATGATCAGTTCAATGGCTAGTTGTGAGCATCTGCCTCTGAGTATCTCAGACTCTTGAAGACCTCTGAGGAGATATCCATATCAGGCTCTTATCAGCATGCACTTCCTGACTTCCACATCAGCCTCTACCTTTGGTGATTGCACATGGGATAGATATTCAGGTGGAAGGTATCCCTCTGGGCTGCCTCCCTGTTCTTGGCTCTCTGGGGCCAGTTCCCTCTGTTCAACTGAGAGTGTTGAAAAGGCCACTGAGAGTCTCTGATAGTTTTAGTCACTGTACTTAACCTTTCTGGAGAATTGGACACCATGACTACCTTCTCCTTTGTGAAACATTTTTGTTCTCTTAGATGACCTAATCTTTTCTCGGTTTCTTTTGAGTCTCTCAGATGTGCTTGCTTGGTTTCTCTCATTCTTCACTCTCGAAGGCTTTTGCTGACTAGGGCTGTAGAAACTGAGGACCAGAGATCAAATGAAGAAACAATACAGCCTCCCCCCACCCTATTTCTTTCTTTTCTGGAAGTCAAATGTACCAGATGAAGGTTATCAACTGTGTTGGCCCCTTCTGAGAACTGTCAGGGAGGACTCTGCTCCCAGCCTCTCTCCTTACCTCATAAATGTTTTTTCTTTCCCTTTCCTCTACAAATGTTTCTCCACCCTCATCTCATTTACAAGCTTATATTAAGATACACTCTAGTGATCTCATTTTTATCTTATCTTTGTAAAAAGCCCTGTCTCTAAATATGGTCTCATTCTGAGATAATGATGGGATATATTTCAACATATGATGTGGGAGGTGGGAGAAGGCCCCTTAGCACAATTGTTTAACCACCTTTCCCATTATGTATCACGAACATATATCTCAATGCAGAACTTTGCTCAGTATGCTTTGTTCCTCCATGAATACATACGTCCTTGTTTTCTTACATTTGGTTTGCACGGTAACACTTGTGTCCTGGTTTACTCCAACTGTCCAGCCCATCTTTCCTGTTCATTCTAGACTGCTCTTCCTCGCCAAGGTTTTCCAGGTTCCCTGGACTTCTCAATCCACTGCTCCCTGAGAACTCACCCACATGAGAATTTTGACTACAAGACTCTGAGGACGCTCAGTGTCTGCCCTGCTCCAAGCCTTTCTTGGGCTTGGCACTGCCTTGTGTTCTATCTACGTAGGCATCTCCATCTACCTGCTTAAGTCCCCTGTGAGCCAATGAACTCACTACCTGTTCCCTCTCTCCATTTGCCCCAAATTCATTCCGTTCCAATGCCCTTCACTATGAAGGATGACGCCCCACACTTAAGTCTTCTCGCATCTCCAGTCTCTACACAGGTAAGAAAGTAAAACAAAACAAATCTCAGCATGGTAGCATAAGCTGTTAGTCTCAGGAGGCAGAGGCAGAGAGATCTCTGTGAGTTCAAGGCCAGCCTGGTCTACACAGACAGTTCCAGGACAGCAAGGTTAGAGAGTCAAAAAATAAATATCTCAAAAAAAAAAAAACAAAGAAAGAGAAAAAAGCCCACAACCTCCTCCCCAAAAAACAACAACAACAGCAAAACTAAAAACAAGCAAGTGCCATGGATTCTAGTGTTCACGCATCTTTTCCTCTCTGATCCCATCATAGTCTCAGAACCATTTTCTGTCCTCCATTAACCCTTTGTTCCTTTGTTCATGCTTTCTCCCTGCGTGCGCCTCAGTCTCCTTCATTTCACCATTTTCCCCCAGTGTTTAGCTTCCCACCGGATCCAGCCACGCAGTGGAGGCTGCTCTTCTCCTTGGGCACAGTTTGTTTCAGGTCAGCCCTCTAGGAATGTAGCCTGGGATCGCGCTACCAGGGCCAGTGAGCACATCGGGGAGGGAGACAGGACACAGGACATGAAGCTTCCTGAATTCTAGTCCTAAGAATGTCATTATATAGCCATTTAATTTTTAATAAGCAATTTCCCTCTGTTTCTTAACCACAAAACAGTAATAATAAAATAATTAATAATAGTAATTACTAAGTCCTTACTAGAGCAAAATTCTAGGCACTTAATAGAAATGATCATGTTAACACCTCACAACCACATGTGACCTCATTGTCAGCCACATTTGACAGGCAGGAGACTGAAGATTAGACCAGCTCAGCAGCTTGTTTAAGGCCCACACCTAGAAGATGTGTCTATGTGGGGTCTGGTATTCAAATACACAGCAGCCGTCAAACCCAAAAAGCATAATTCAAAACAAAACAAGGTTGAAGTCCTTGCAGAGGGTTCTACAGAATCTGAGTGATCACAGACACAGCAAAGTCAGTGTAGTTGTTGGTATCTTTTTTCTTTTCTTTTTTTAATCTACTTTTAATTTTTTTTCCCTACAGAAATGGTTCAAGGCCAAAAGCCTTGTGAGGAGTAAAAACCCTCACACGTCTGGTGAATGTTGTGCACGTGCACATGCCGTTTACAAAAGAGATAGTACCACGCCTCCTACTTTTTCCATAAGCTAAGCATATTAGAGACTGTTCTTTGGTCGAGTTTCTCTTTCTAAAATGATTTCATAATATTCCATCATGGGTATTTCATAAATAACCAGTCATCTATTTTTAAACAATTGTTTCTAAATTTTCCACACTGTAAAAAAAAAAAGTGGCAAGAAAAAAATATCCATGTTGTCAAACCTTTACTAAGATAAATCAGTGTATATTCAAAGATGAACTGTCTTTGTTAAACAGCACATAACCTCGAGGATAGCTAGTGTATTTCAGCAGATGTTTGCTCAGAAGGAAGACATAACCGTCAAGGGGCAGTATAGGTATACATCCTTCTCTCCTTAGTGGCATAGGGAATTTTTGTTTGCTTTTGAAATTTAGCATTTATCATTTTGACAAAAAACTGATAATTTGCTGTTATGATCTGTGTCACTTTTAGCTCTAAGATTCAACACTGTTTATTGCTCATAACTGGCTTGGGACATCAAAACAACGAACACCTTAAATAAGCGCCATATGGACAGCAGGCTGTGATGCTATGGCATGGCCAGCACAATTCAGCGCTATCACTTCTACAGGCTCCATGAAAACTCTAAATTCTGAAATTTTTTTCACATATATATATGTATGTATGTATATATGTATATATATATATATATATATTTAAAATTATGCTAGAGAGGAAAGAAAGTTTTTTTAACTTGGAAGTTAATCTGTAATCTTTTGAAATAAAAGTGGCAAAGGCACTTCTCAAATCAATTGGCGCTGGGGAGGAGACTCCCATAGTGCAGTAATAAATAACCGAGGGAGACAACCAACCACGCTTCCAGATGCCTAAGCAAAAGAAGGGCAGGCATGGCTGCCTCCAGGAAGCCTGTGCCCTGGGACCTGCCAGAGATAAGAGGGAGAAAAGGATTCCACTTCCGTCCTCAGGAGCCCGGGAGCCTTGAGAGATCTCCACCTCTCTTATCTCAGCCATTAGTTAATACAACGATACCGCCTGTCCGGACACCACTGCGAAGTGTGACATTAGTGAAGCAACGCCAACGAAGTGCACAGCACGCCAGGCGTTCCACAGACACTGGGTAACTGAGTTACTCCCATTGCTTACTTGTGTCTTAGTTTGTTATTGTTATTGTTGTTGTTTTCTTGCATACAGTCAGTCACCCCTGAGAATCTGCACAAATACCAAAATCTTGGGTGCTCACGTTCCCAGTATAAAGTAAGGTAGTAATTTGCATATTCCCGTGTACTTTAAATGATCCCTAGATTACGTACAATGCATACACAATTCCGTGCAATTACATATACACTGTAAATGAATACCAACAAGAGCCCCATGTCTGTTCAGTATAGGCACAACTATAAGCGAGCTACATTTCTATCTTAAATGGGAAGTTGATCACAGACGGCCCTCTGAGTCCATGGATGTGGAACTCATACACTCAAAGAACAGGCTGTGCCCTTCCTCTGCATTTCCTCTGGCCTTTCTTCTTTTGCCTACTCTTTATTTGACTTCTTCACCTTTAGCTCAAACTTTTTAAAAAAGTGCCTCCTCTCATTTCTCATACTTAAAGTCATTTAAGAAACCCGTTCAATATCTGAAACACAAATCAATCACCTTTGGGAAAAAAATTACAACTATCAGCTGCTTTTGGTACCTCAGGTAAGTCTTACCCCCATGAAGCAAAGAAAGACATTGTAGAGAAAGAAAGAAAGAAAGAAAGAAAGAAAGAAAGAAAGAAAGAAAGAAAGAAAGAAAGAGAGAAAGAAAGAGAGAAAGAAAAGAAAAAA